AGAGAGGAAGGTGCAGTCTTTTGGTATTGGCAGGGACAAGTCATAAAACTGTTTTGGTCTCCAGCAAAAGGCACTGGGTGTCTCTCCTGATCTTGAGTGGCTTACACTTTTTTTTAAACTGGAGGCAGCCACTTACTGCCAGCATCTTACACCTCCACTCTCAATCTGCTGTGAGTTCGCTCAATGCTGTGTCTGCTTTCCCCTAAGGCCAAAGTTTGCTCATTCTCCCTGCAAGGAGAGGCTTTGTCAGCCCCTCCCCAGCTGGAAACATAAGTTTGAGACTAAAACTTTACTTCCTGACAAAGGAAACACATAGATAGTGGACTTTTGTTATCTAAAATCACCTGTCTGAGTAACTGTATGCTCTATATTTTGGCATACGCAGATTGAAGTCTTTCCTAACAGTGAGAGTGTGGTACTTTGAAGAACTTTTTTTTTCTGTGTTGTGTTCTGGGTTGCTTATTGTTAAATGATACCCTAGAAATATGTGAAGAGAAGACAAAGCAGAGGTACACTTTTATCAAAACCTGCCTAAGTCAATAACTAAAATGATTTCTAGAGCTTCATGTGGCAAATCATAATTTGAATGGTAAGATCATACTTAACTGATTTATTGTGTGAAATCACTAGTCACATGCAGGCCATTTAATAAAAACTAAATGCATGAAATAATTGTTTTGCAGGGAGTACAGACATCTTCCCACCCATATGGAAATTATGTGCAACCAACCCCAAATCTCAGATGGCCAAACAGTGTAAAACAGCGAGTAGCAGCATTTGATTTATGGACAGCTGAGCACTGCAGGCAGCAAGAACTCCTCCTTAGTTTGGCAGCGCCTGTTGTTTTTACTAAAATGACTATTCCTGCAGAGATCTATTACCATCAAAGGATCTGAGCCAGTTTCACATACTCACGAGCTTCTCCTTTGGTGCCATTGTCACTTTTAGCAGTTAGAATGTTCTTGCCTCTGTCTGGAAAGGGGGAAAGTTAATATGGAGTCTGCCAAATCACAAACCACAAACAGTCAAGCCCAGGTAAAACATGAAAAATCAAATAGGGCAACATTGGAAAGCTGCTTATTCCACATCTCTTTCGCCACCTAAGTTATCAATAAAAGGAGCTGTGTTTAAATAGGCCAGTCTCAGAGTTTGGGACAGCAAATTACCCAAGGGCTTGTGTGTTTCCACTGATTCTTCTACTGGTTTTACCTGCAGCTGGGTTTTGGGGTTGCTTTTAGTTTTGGTTTTCCCCAAAAAAATTCTTCACTTGTATAAGGCTGTGTGGTTCCCATTCCAAGAAATTCTGTTTCACTCATGCAACCTCTGAAGGAATTAAACATGTTTTGCTTCCTGAACAGAAGCCACTAGAATATTAACAGACTGAGGTAGTCTCTCAAGATTTATCTCCTCCTTCCTCCTGGATTTTAAAGAAAATAAATCCCACTTGGTTGAAGTTGATTTTTGCTTTAATGTTTTTAATGACGAGTTGAGGACACTGGACTGGAAGCACAGGGGTTACAGTGCTCAGTTCTAAGTTTTGTCAGGGACACATGTTAATTCAAGTAAACTCTGAACCTCCTCTTCCCCCAAACTCACTCTTTTTTCTATTGAGAAAAATAAGTCTAATGATACATATGGCTTTAGATTCTTGCAGTTTTTTTAATACTGAAAGTAATGCCTCTCACAGAATTGCAAAACATTTTTTCTTGGATTATTGCACTTCCTCCTAGTTCCTGTAGATCTTATAAATAAGATTTTAAATAAGATATTGAAGCACAATGTCATGTTCAGTGTTTAACACCCCCCCCCCCAGCCCCCTGAATATATTTGTACTTTCCTCACTATTATCCCATCTGCCAAAATTCATGCCTTTTGCAAAAATCAGCAAAATGACATCAGTTTATTTATCCTTAGGGGCATCAAATTATTGCACCGCTTAAGTTCTAAAAATAAATAACTAAAGAGGGTGGAGGGAAGAGATGGAAAACAACAAAAATCTGTCACAAAGTCTCTCTGAATTCTGGAGAATGTATGATTAGAGCATTAAAATGTCCAAACAATGCAATGAGCAGAAAGTGTTCGAACTTGGGCCCTTTTAGCTGGCTCTACATTAAGCAGCGCTAATGTTTTTATACAGTCTTTGGAAAGCTCAGAATTGACCTGTTTTTATTATTTTTATTGGCTCCCTTGATGATAGACAAATGGGGCTAACTTGAGGCCAACATAACCAGCAGGAAATTTGGGTCATGGGTAGTTACATTTTTAAAACTTGTGTTCTAGGGCTGTTCAATCAGGGTAATTGATTGATAGTTAGGTGGTGCAGGGAGCCCCTAAATCACTGGAGGTGGCCAGATAATGACTATCTGCCAGTGGATTTTGTTTGAGGCAAATTTCCCAACTCCCCGTGGAGCCATGCTCTGCAGTGAAGTTGTGAGTCCCTTTTTTTTTTTCATGCACAGTCCAGTCCAACTGGCCTGTTTGGACAAAATATCCTCTAAAACTTGGAAGTTCCATTTGAAGTCCTCTGTGGTGCCACTTCCCAAGAGATAAGGGGAGAAACATTCCAGAGAAGTTCATACCCCAGAAAGACCCTATGTGCATTCTGAAGTTAATGGTTTATTACAGCTCTTTAATTTTTTTTTCCTCTTTCATTTTTACTTTGAAGATAAGAGGTGGCAATTGTTACTTGAAGTTGTTGAGTTTTAGCCTGTCCTACAGTAAATCACCCTGAAAGTTTATACATGATTTTTTTTAATCATGCATGTTTGAAAGTTTGCCAAAGATGCTGTACATGTGTATTTGCAAGAGCCACAATCCTCAGGCAGGAGCTGCTCACTCTACTGTTCTATACAGCCATGGGCATCCTCAGTGCTCCATGCCTGTGGCTCATCTGTGCATGCAAAATACAGCTTTTTCAAGAACTCATCTTGGTGCTGTAGCAGCATGCCATGCACTTAGAGATGGAGTGAAGTAGACTTTGTGGATTGGGAGGGGAGGAGGGGCATAGATGATGTGCCACTAGATAGAAGATGATGCTCAATAGTACCTGGCATAGGTCTTGCCTCTTCATAAAATGAATTCAGGATAATATATACTGAAGTTTGTCATCTATTCCAGAATAACTCCACACATGGGTTTATCTTGATTTCTTAGATTTTTAGGGATTATTAGGCTTTTGTTCATTGCAGATGGCTTCCTTATGATAGATGCATACCTCTGAATTGCTTGAAGCTTTGTCTTTATCCATCTTAGGATCTGAAAGAATCTGTACTCCAGATGAGAATTTATTTGTGTCACTTTTTCAGAAGAGAAGAGATAATACTGAATTAAGGCAGGGCTCAGTTGAAATCCAGGAATCAAACAGCCTTGTTTTGAGGATGGCCCAGCTACCAGCACATGCCAGACCAGTGCCAAACACCATAGATTTCCTTCCTGGGTGGAGCAGTGCTTGGACTTACTGTGTATGTGATTTAGCACTCCCTGCCCAAACACAGAGGGTGCCAACCCCTTCTGGATTTCAGAATGTTCCTTCTTGGCTCCCACATGCTTTTGACCACTACAGCTTTGTAATTTACTGCCTCAAGTCTGCAGTTGCACTTACTGTTAGGTGTAGTGGATAGTTAGAAAATTCTTCTCCAAGGTATGTATTCAAATGGAAACATAACATCTGACCGCACTGAAGTCCCAGGAGAGATGGGCCCATGGCAAAACTTGTATGTCAAGAGCAGGGTGGGGTCCCAAAGTCCACAGAAGTGTAGTTTCTTATAGCACAGCCTGGAAAAAAGCTTCTTGGAACTTAAGTAATTCATGCTTTCTTAATGATTGAGATCTGTGGTGGATCAGTGTAGGTATAAAAATGACAGTTTATTAGATGCTTGTTAGTGTTTCTGAGACTGACAAAGAACAACTAAAAATACAACCAGACCCCCTGAAGTCTTGTATGAAGTACACCAGGAGATAAAGCTTTCAGTGTCTGTGTTCCTAAAGCCCTTGCATGGTTTTGCTGTTGTCTAAACTTGTGTCTCTTCCTAGTATGTTTGATTTCTATTTTATTTACTTATTGTGAATCAATTTAAAGGGTAAATTATTGGCTGTGGTGCCTGTTTACCATGACTAGTCTGTGTGAAGTTACTGCAATAACAACCAAGGATAAATGCCTGCAAACTTGACTCCTTGGATTACAAGAGATTTGATGTTTCACTGTACACTATGAACTGACCCATAGGTTGTCACAGAGGGATCTTTTGGGTGATCAGAGAACAAGGGGAGGGGTACTGGTGTTGCAGGAGACCTCTTGGATGGACCTGAGCAATCACTACCACCAGGAGAGAAAGGCTGTTCTTTCCTCCCACACCTCCCTCCCCATCCAAGAGCAGAGTGTTCCTCCTGTTTGCCTTGCAGTGTTCCCACCTCTCACCTGATCCTGCTGCTGCATTCCCAGCTAAGCCAAAGCAGAAAATTAGCATGTAGGAGTTTCATCCACAGGTGTTTGTGGGCAGTAGAGTGGCAGTTTGGTGGTGCAATTAATCATTGGCCTGCTTTGAGTGGCAGAGAACTGCACAATGGATCTAAATGCCAGCCCTGGTGTTGCATGATGTGGATGTCAGCAAGTCAATGGAATCTGGGCTTTGAACCCCCTGCTCATGTACAAAATCAAACCCAAGGATAAAGCCTAAAATTTAGAGGAAATGTTTGACTTTGTACTTTGTACCATTTCTACCCATACCAAGGGATAGATGCTCTCATCCTCTCATTATACTGGTACTTAGAAAGATCTAATATTAAGGCTTTTCAAGTGCTAAAAGGCTGCTATTGTGAATCCCTAAGAAAAAAACTGTAGACAATTAATAAACTCACTGTCTGAGCAGCAAATAAATCACATCACCATCTGCTGACTACTGAAAGTGTGAATGTTGAATGATGTGCCACAGGAGTATGTCTGGTCCTAACTTACAAGCACTATGGAGGCAATCTGACACAACCTTCCTTCTGTTTTTCAGACTATTGGCGAGTCAGAAATGCCCAGTGTTTTGAACCAGTTATTGCCAATGATCAAGTCCTACAACGAAAGGACAAAAGATGATTATGCCTGTGAGGACTTCCTTGTTTTGCTGATATACATATATTCTGTGGTTGGAGAAATCAAAGGTGGAAAAGAGCTCGACATAGCTGAAGAAAAGGTGAAAAGGGCCCTTGTCAAGGCAATTTGTGATGAGCCAGAGCCATCTCCTTTGCTGCAGAAAATTACAGGTAAGATTCTGCTTTTGTGGTGAGAAACTGGATGTCTGGGAACGTGTGAACTGGGAGAAGTGTATAAAAATGGCTTGACTTGTCTGTGGTGCTGAGAGTACATGAGTAAGCACAAGGATTTCCTGTAGATTTGTTCCATCTCCTCTGTTCATATATGCCAAATGCTGACAGGCTGTCCTTGAAGAGTGCTGAGTCTGATGAAAGCACTACAAGTTGTTCTTTTTGTTAAAGGTTTCCTAAGTTTGTGTGTTTTCATAAGGTAATCTTTTCCACAATTTCTTTCATTGATTGGTGTAAAGTTGACCCTGGGAAGTCAGAATTAATCCTGGAAACATGTTCAGTGAACCACAGTTGCTTTGTGAATACGAGGAGCTGGCTTTTCTGGCATAAAAGAAGAAATGTGTCTAAAACCAACATTGAGCATTTTGCTGAAACAACATGAACATTAGCCTTTAAAAATAGCATGGTAAGCCTTTTTTTAGATGAGCACTCATAGAATAGGAAAACCCTAACCTCTTGTTGCTGGTATCACATTTTAGAAAAAAAAAACCTGCTAAAAACTTAATTTTAAATGAATGAGCTCAGGGGTGGCCTAGCATGGCAGAGGGGATCTCACTTTCTGCTATCAGTTTTCTCAGTATTTAGTAATATTGAGACGAGGTCATCTTGGAGGTGGGGAGCATATGAACATAAATCAAGATGTTGAGAGGAGCTTACAATTGAAAGCATTTGCCAAGAATGGGCCTAAGTGGGGAGTCTCAGGGGAAGTGGAATAATACTGCTGTTGGTTATTCTGGTACTATTCCCTATGGACACTTCTAATTCAAAATACAGGTGTGGTCTCACTGGTCTGCAGTTGCTTTGAGTTTAAAATACTGTAATAGTTCAAGGACTTAGGGTAGGAATGAGGTCACTCAGTCATATTTACACTGTGGTGTTATTTTAATACTCCTGGCCACAGTGCTCACAGTGTTCCAGGCTTCTTGTAGGCTTTTGCCTTCCTGTTTTTCAATATGTACTGCACAACTTGTCCACCAAATGGTGCTTCCCTCGCAGCTTCAGTGATGTCTTTTAGTGAATGGGATGTAGTAATTTCTAAATCTCTGTTTTCGTATTTTTCCCTTTCTCCAATAATCAAAGCTTTAAATCACAGTTTTTTGTTTCTCTTCATTGTGCTTAATGTAAGTATGTGAAGATTTAAGTCTCTAAAACTTCAGCCAAGTACCAAAGAGAAGCTGAGAAGAAACCCAGTACAGATAGTTTTAGACCAAGTCCATCATTATTATGTGATGAAATTAAGTGCAACACAAAGCCAGAGTCTTTGCATCCTTATATTTCTCTATCTGTGTTTTAGCACAACCATGTCTGTGCAATCTGCACAAGTAGGTGACAGTACTGCATACTTTCCATACTCATTGCTTGGTACTTTTTTGGTTCTTCACCATTTTTTGGTTTGACATCTTATTTCCTTTGAGTTATTCATTTGAGTTATTCCTTTGCAGAGGGCAAAGGAAAATAACATCTATTGTCATAACCAGAAATAAATGTCATGTTGGCAGCAAAGTATCACATGAAATTTCTAGGAATACTCCACAGGTAGTTGTCAAGCCTTTATTTATCCAACCGTTTGCTTTGTCAGTGGTAGTGGAATTTGCTGAATTTGCAATTTGCTGTATTTGCAGTAGAGGGGAATTGGGAAGACTTAAAACCTGACCAGGTTTAGACCTATTCCTCCTTGATCTATATTTTGCCAGGCTTGTGTTCTACAACCTGCTGCCCTCTGAACCTTAGGTAGCTTGCTTGCTACTTGAGAGGCAAAGCAACTCAGAACTGAAGGAACATCCACAAACTTTTCTTCAAAGGCACAGCAGGACTGTCTTTGTAGCAGGGCTGAAGGTCAGGGAATAGAGAGCAGTGATGGTTTCTCCTTTTTGTACAATTGTAGATATAGTGCCAAGACATATTCTGCTACCAGCAGAACATCTATGAACTACAGAATAATTCCTTTTAGCAGGTGCAGGTTGGCATATTTTCACAAAGTCAACACAGCTCTGCAAGTTACCAACAGCCACGAGTCTGGACAGATTGTGTTCCAGACCTACAGCATTCTGCTCTCATTTTACTTTTAACTCAGAAACAAGAAAACCTTTTTTGTTCTTAAGGGGCCACAAAAGTTATAGACTAAAATAAATTTCAATAATGCTTAGAAGTATTGATTCATGATCAGAACAAAGTAAAATGCTCATGGTATTTTATTTTAACCTGTCCATCAAGGTAAGTAATAGGAAGAATGTTAAATGGGATGGATCAGGAGAGAAAACTATGCCCGTTTTTTTGTGGTTTTGAGAGACACTGCCTGCTGGCTCATTCCTCACCTCCATGATGAAGTTTCAAACCCTGCTGGCAATCCATGATTGGACAGCTTGAGTTATAGCAAGAGATAGCAAAATTTACTGTTGCCTGTAAAAAAGGCACACAGAAGTAATAATAGGTAGGCTGCAAATCCAAGAACTTCAAAGTTGATAAATGCCAGTAAATAATTTTGCCATGTAACCATCCTTTGACTCCTGTGTGCATTGCAGCACAGTCCTCATTTCATGATTATATAGTGTATTTTCTATGAGCCATCGCTGCATTCCCTGCATGGACTGAACACCACAGAGAACTAGACAATATAGCTTTGGTTATTCTTCACATGAGGAAGAAGTACTAATAAAATAAGTGAGACTCTTGTGATATTCAGCAAGTAACTTTCTCTGGCTCTGAGTTTGCAGTTGATGGAGTGGACTGGTGCTCTCAGCTTTGTGACTCATTTTGGAACTTGAAGCAGAAAGTCATTAAATTACATTTTGAGGTATTAGTGATTACATGTCTTTGAGCAGAGGGGACTTTGTGCTCTGCTTCCTGATACACCTGGTGCCTGATGTTTTTAGCTTGGACCCAACACTGTACTAAGGCTCTGTGGTTGATTTAAATTGAAATTTAAATTAAAGCCCATATTTTAGCTGTGGCTCTGAACTGCTGCCTCAGCCTTTTGCTTTCTTCTTTTCTGCAAAGCATGGAAGTTGCGCAGTCTTGACAAGTACACATTTTTCTTGGTTTAATTTGTTGTTCCCATAGAGTCACTTGAAAATACAAAGCAAAACCTATTAAAAGCTTTAGAAGACTTGTCTTTTGGGATCAAATTATCAGTCAAAGTATTAGTCAGGTTTATATGAGTTACCTTTTATTCCTATTATACTTGTGAAATGTAAACTTGATGATGCTTGTGTGACTCCATGCCTATAGGAAATCTCCAGTTATGTGACTGCCTCCTAGAGCTAGTGCAAATCTCTCCCAAAAGAGGCAGCCCACAGGTGCACAGGGGATATTTGTGCTATTTGGTGTTACCTAGTGAAACTGGACTAGTATTTGCAGCAGTGCAAAGAAAGCAATTGTCAGAGACAGGGCCTGTCTGTCTCATTGGGCACACTAGGATTCCCTAAGGCACTCCAGGTTACAGCCCTCTGCAGAATACCTTCCATATGCAGCACTTGCACAAGTTTATATTGTGTAAGAAGCACAAGCCCTTCCAATTTCCTGGCTGTTGAGTGTTAGGATACTCAACCTTACTGTTGCCTGAACATATGTTTTCTCAAATATTTGTACAATAGCATTCTGCATTTATGTAACACCTTGTTTCATTGAAGCACTAAAAAAATATCCTGGAACTGTTAAGTAAAATGAAAATGGAGTGCATTAATCACGCACTGAGTTTTAAGAAATATGATACTAATTTTTGCATGCATAATAATATAAAAGTACATTAGCAGTATCTTGTTTAATGGAACTGTAAATAATAAGCGTAGTGCTAGAGTATCCTAATGCCTTGGGTAATAAAACTGAATGTAACAGTTCCAAGATTTCTCCTGGGTGTAATTTATCTCAAACATATGTTCTTCATCACTGATTCCAACAGAATGTTACAAATTGGAGGGGGAAGAGAATAGACCAGAGCATAATGGAAAATGATGCTTTTCTCAGAATGCTAGGTTTGGGAGCTTTAGGGGTGGGGCTTTTTGGCAGCTGTTTGAAAATAAACCCTCTGCAAAATAGCATATTTATTTTATCATTTTATCTGTTCATCTAGTTTTCTAAATGTCTGTGTAGAGCTGTGTGCAAATGCAAACGTCTGCAAAAGTAATGCTAATAGAGCCACAAAGCAATAAAGGTCTATTTTTTCAGCTGTGCCATTCTCTTTTTCATCTACAAATCTCTGTGGGAGCTTTGTAGAGCAGATCTGCCTTCCATGGTGTGCTCTGAGGACTCCCAGCCCAGCCCCAGCACAGGCAGCTGGCTGTGCTGCCCATGTGCAGTAACTTTCACCTGATAGGGCTGTATCAGTTGCATCCTCTTGAGCACAGGTGTAATAGGAATAAAATTCCTCTTTTGTGCCAGCAACTGCTGTGAATTTTTAATCACAAGGTGGATTTCTAGACCTTTCTCTTGCTTTTTCTAAATTCTGTGTGTTATATAACGGGGGGGGGGGGGGGGGGCGGAGCAAACTGAGAAATCTTTAAGTAAAGACCAAAGTGGAAATGCAGAGTTCTTTAATGTCTAGAGTCTTGCATAAAGGAAATACAAGCTGTCTGAAGTCTGTACTGTACTCTTTTTGACCTGTGTAAAAATCTAGGGACTGGGAATCATAAGTCTATTTGTCTGGAGATACATCTGAATCTTTGGTTGTGGGAGGAGAGGTTGGATGCTATTTCTCCCTCTTTTCTCATAGATTTGGGTTAAATTTGAAAGACCAGAATAAACATGATGGGCCAGGGGAGGATTCCTTGCCTATGGCAGAGGGGTTGGAACTAGAGGGTCCCTTCCAACTGAAATCAGTCTGTAATTCTGTGACTCAGATTCTGTGGAGTGTAGGCATTGCCATATTGGATTAGACACTTCTCAACTGATTCTGCTTGTCCTCAGCATATGATTTTTTGGGGAAGATATTTCATATTAATGAA